CGTACATGAAATAGCCGCCTCGCTACAACCATGTCTTTGACGTGCTCTAAGGCGTGGCGCTGGTGCGTTTCGAAAGTTCATTTACGTACGGGTTTCTAAATGGATGATAAACATTCTGGCAAAATTGCAACTATCATTTTTCAGCTGGATTTCGAGCTGGCACGATGCTAACTGAACTCTGATGTCACTACACGCATGATGCAAGCGTCTCCGATAGCTGAATTGCCCGAAAACTTTGCAAAAGATGCAGCTTCCTACGCTCACCGATTTCAAAATTATTTCTCTGCAAAAATTTGCATGCTTTTTTCCACGCTTCCGTATGTGTGATCTAGGCGCATATGAAAACTGATTTTAAAAGGGACGGAAGCAGGGGTAAGAATATGCTCCTAAAATTTCAGGTTCTCAGCTTTCTTGGTTGCTGTGTTTAAAAGAGTTAGTTTGTCTTCCAATACACCCAGACATAGACATACAAACGCACGCACACACACACACACACACACACACACAACGTATTGACAAAAAGTTGTTTTAGCAATTACACAGGTATGCGAAAATACGTAATAATCAGTGCCAATGCGCAACAGGCTTGCTAGTTCGAAAATGCTTCTTTTGTACAATTTTGGTAGCTGTTTGTCCCTAAATAACGCTTTTTTTGGGCAGGTAATCCTAGCTAAAAGTGGCCAAAGTGGCTATCCTAGTCGAAATAGTCGTAAACCATGCACATTTTTTTAAGCACTCTAACAGCTATAGTTAAGGAGTTGAAAAGTGGTAAGCGTCAAAGTTCACGCGCCCTTTTGTGAAGTGTAGGACAGGCACGAAAGTTTAATTCACTTCTTGAGCACATGAGTGGATCTAATAAATTGGTTTTACGAGGCTGCCTTGTGACTGTTCTAAAAGGCAACCAGATGAAAATATTTGCTCAAGGAAAGCAAGCAGTTTTTAATGTAAAACCATCCGGGAGAGAATAATTTCTTTAATAGCCTCTTGGGGGGCTGGACCTTAAAGTGCTCTGGAGAACTCCCTGTATAGTTTTGAGCTGCCTTTTTTATCCCGCTTATTTAACGAATAAAAATTTTTCGATTTTTGTTACTCCAAACATACCTAAGGGAGCGCATAAATCTGAGGCGTGTTCCGCAGAAACTTGCGGAGCAGTATGATGCGAATCGGTGATCTCTTTATAGCTCATCGTCACTGCTGCGACTTCGACGCTGGGTGGGTCCGGAATGATGCTGATTCGTTTTTTCGAAGCCATTAAGCGGTCGTGCTCAAAAGTCTCCGCACATATTGTTGGTGAGCGCCATCTGCAGTAGACCAGTTTTTTCTGCTCTCGGAACGATGTGATGATACCATGGCTGCTTTTAAAATTCGCTTTTCAGGCATGTTGCCGCAGTGCTGTATTGATGTAAAATTTGATGAATCGAAACACTTCACAAGTCTTTATTAGCATTTACTTACTATGTAAAGTCTTGCCTTGTCCGTTTTTCT